CATTCAGGAGTGTGTCTCCTGATGAGTAGTTGTAGCCTAAGCCTATGGCTGCAGAATGCAGAGCAATACCTTTTATAAAGTTGTTAATACTGTAATAATATATAAAATAGTTTAAATCAGTATGAGGTGACTTAGTTGAATTTAGTACTGCATAGTTTGTTATTGTTACACAGTATTTTGATGTGTTGCAGGTTTTACCGATGGAATAGAGGTGAAAGCACTAAGTCCAAACAGATCCTGTATCAATTTGTCTAATCCGAATTAGTACTGTAAAGGGTAAAGGTAGAAGAATAACCCTATTTATCACTTTAGATGCTGTGCAACCACTATTCTGTAGTGTGTAGACCAAGAACTAACAAATCAGGAGTGGTCTACAGAGAAACGCATTCCAAGGGAGGTTGAAATTTCTTGGCAAAGACTGATGAGCAAGGTCACCATACAATCAGGAGCTTCCCCAAACCTGTCAAACATTGCTTCTGCTGGATTACTCATCCCTACATCAACTGCAGGCAAGTAACATTTTCATTTAAAAATAAATGTTTGTGCATTGTTGTCTAGGTATAACTTTTGTGTGGGCTTGTAAATGTAAAATTGATTGAACATCTTTTTTTCCAGATTGTTGAGAGAGGATTTTCAAAAAAGGGTAAAGACTGATTCACAACCCTTACGCAACAGCATTGTAAACTCTCTTATTTCCATGGAAGGACCTGCTCAGAGTGAATTTGACTTTACTGCTTGCGTGAATGATTGGGCCAGCCAAAAAAAATAGGATACAGTTCAACTAAATATAAAATAATAATAATATATAAAAATAATTGGCAATAGGCCTAATGTATAAAATGAATTAACGAGTAATATGTAAATTTTACTGATTAAATATGTGTGTGTAATGTTACAGAAAATGTTAATAAATGTGCAGTAAAAACTGGAACTGTGCAGTAAATATTGATAATATGTTCTGTAATTGTTTAATTTGTGTGTATGTGTAGCCAAAGGAATTTGTTTAACTGTTGTAAAAATAGTCACTGCAAACTAAATGAATAAAATAATTGTTTTGAAGAATTTACAATCTTGTTTGTAAAATAACAAACTGAATTAGCAATTAAATAGTCTATATATTGAAATAATGAATAGCTTTGTTTAGTTCATTTTGTAAGTAATTTAGATGATTAGACAGCATTAAACATAAATAATTGGTATTGTTTGCACAAAACGTGGCACATGTTTTCCCAACAGCTTTAACAATCCTGAGGAGAACCCTGCCATTGAACTGGATTGGGTACGGGCTTGGTCCATGACTACTGTAGCAGCCGTAGAGAGGTGTTCAGTAGCTTTAAGTTCACATCATCCCCCAATGACATGAGCTGAAATCCAAAGAGCATCGAGGTCACCTCCTACTAGATACAATACAATGGGGTTACACGAGCCTGATGCATTAGCACTGAACTCTGGAATTAAGCTTACAGTAAACAAATATGATTAATGTTTCATTATTACTGTACTATGGCTATAACTATTAATTACTCAATTTCTTACCTGTGCCTTTGCTGAATTTGGGTTCATCTCAAGGTTTTTAATATCATTCTCTAATAATAACTCTTGAAGCTCATCGTACAGAAGTAGGTGTTGAAGGTATTGGCTTTTCTCCCTCTGCAGTCTTTCTTTGGCCTGAAACAATGTGAAAAAATTTACGTTCACACCAGAACCGGAATCTGGTGCCTGGTGAAGAATGAATTCAGTGGTGAAGAATAGGGCGTTCACATTAAATTTGTATGATTTCCAATCCGGACTCCGGATCCAGAGAGATGGATCTGAGATCCATTTGCATTGTGAAATCCTACATGTTTTTGTTTTTTTTGTGTTAGATCAACCAGTAACGAGCATGAATGACTTCTCTAGACATTTTCCGTGCGCGATGTGAACGCAGCGTTCAAAAAACGTAACTCAGGACTTTTTGTCTTGGCTCCAGACCAGATCTGGGCTGGATGTGAAGTAGCTTACAATAAATAAAAGCAATACATTTTTATGAGATTTTGGAGAAAAACTTTAGAGAGGACTCATTAAACCAGTTTGAACAAAACAAAATATAGAATTAGGTTACTAATGAGTTTAAGTTACTTTTTCTGCTCTCCATCTAATTAGAGATATTTCAGAAATAAAGTCCACTTGATTGTTTTTTTTTATTTTGAGTTTATTAAGTGGGCCCTACATATCAATCCTTAACCGACTGCACCATCCATGCGATGTGCCCTATTAGAAGTAATGGCAGTAATGTACAGTCCTTGCTGAAACCCCTGTTTTGTAGGTGTAGGGGGAACCTTGGGTCCAATTTTAAAAAAGGGCGATGAACGTTTGTTGGAAATCACCTCTAGTTTATGTGTACAAAATTTCCTGCACGTCTGTTCAAAACTGGTGATGCTGGACGCCGTCAAAGTTTTGGTAACAAGAACAGCAGTGAGGATCTGGGCTCAGTTCCTTGCACATACCCAAAAATTGTAGAAATAAAATAAAAAAAGAAAGGGAAAAGATGTTAACATTAGTAAGTAACTTTAATAGCACCATTAAAAAAAACACCAACCCATTCTAATTCCTGGGAAGCTTGCTTGCTCATTCCATTAGGACTTAAGTGTGTTGCGATTGCTTCTAACAACTTCACAAACTCTGGATTCTTTTCAACATCACTTGCAGTAATATGCACTGGTAAACTCATATTTACTGTAAAATCAAAAAGTATGACAGTTTGTTAGTCTGTATTCAGACTTATACAGTCTATGGTATTAGGCCCCATAAAAAAAAAATAATAGTTTATCACTCCCTCCCTCCCTCATCACTTTTGGGAAAATTTTGATTTTTTTTTTCTCCAAGTAACATATTTTTATTTCAAACGGTCGTTTTTCCAACATTTTTTACTTGGAAAGCTCAAGAGTTCTTGCAAATATGTTTACTGGTACAACAAAAACATATTTTTTAAATGTTAATTTGATTCCATTCTTATAAATTTTTATATATGTGTCCCTAACCATTGATTTACTTGAAAACATCGGTAAAATGGGGGTGGGGTTAGCAAAAAAAAAAACTTCCTTCCTCATCAGTTTTTATTCTTTGATAGGGTGATAAACTAATACATTTTTTTATGGGGCCTTATTACTAAACAGTATTAATATTATTATTCTGTAAATGTCATTTGCGTAGTCGAGTCTTTTAGTTTGGAAAAGAATAAGAAAAAAAAAGCTTCCTTCCCATGTCATGTATTTGAAAAAAAAAATCTAGGAATTTTTTTCTAATTTCTAAGAAGAAATATATTACCGCTGGCTATGATGACTAGAATTTTCCTCCTTAATTGTAGTGAGCACGACTTCTGCAATTCACAAAATGATGTGTAAAATAAACAAATAAAAATGTATGTAAATCCATAGGGCCTAGGCCTACTACTACTGTATTATTACTACTTAGTACCAACCACACCACCATTATTAGGCCCTAATTCTAGGCCTACATAGAGTAGGCCTAGGCTAAGTAAGAACGTACCCCAGAACCCTACCATCACACTAGGCTAGGCCTAGATAGGCCTAAGCCTATATGACAAATTGAGCGTAGGCCTAGCCTATATCAATTACAGTACAATAATACAAATTACAAGTCTGACACAGTCCTATACCTACACCCTTACCTATTGCTAAATCCTATGTTTATGTCTCACTGCTGCAGGCCGAGTCCGTTTTCTACTGCATCAGCGCCATCCCATCATGTGGCCCACCCAAGGTCTAGGGTAGCCTAGGGACTAGACCCCCTATGCTATGCCTAAAAAATTTAAAAACAATAGGCCTACTAGGCCTAGGCCTAGTACTACCTAGGGCCTAGGTTGGGCCGGGGGACTTTTTAGTCTTTAATAGTCAAAGCCCGACGGCAGAATATACAACGATTTTAATGAGTAGACATTGTTTATTAATGCATTCAAACTGGCAGGTGACGCTTACTTCGCAATGCAAATGCTTCATCGTTTTGGAAGCCACGTGTTGCCATTATCTTGCATAAATTAAAGTTAAAATCTTGGCTATTTGCATACGAAAACAAAACGAATCTCCCGCGCGCCAGATCCACAACAGATCCAAGATTCAAGAAGATAATACATGTCAAAAATAGACCTCGTTCCACATGTCTAACACAATCTAAATTTTATGAACTATTGTGAATGTTATTTTGATGTAATAAATGAAAATAATATGTAAGGTTACATATAATTTTATTATATTCAAAGATCTGATATATTTTATAAATTATGTTTACCAAAAATCCATTATTTACATGCATTAAAATATACCGTTCATGCCCAAGGAGGAGATTTCTTTTTGTTTCAAAATGGCTGCAAGCGTGAGAGGAATTCTTCCGGACGATACAGCTGAAATGGTTTCAGCTTGCAAAGTTCTTGTAGTTGGAGCTGGTGGAATAGGCTGCGAATTATTGAAAAACTTAGTGCTTACTGGTTTCACAGATATCGTTGTCGTAAGTTACATATTTACCTTTAAAAATGGACTTAAAAGCTAGGCCTCTTTGACGAGGCCTTAGCGTACGAACTGAGTTAATTTGGCAGACGCAGCTCGGTTGAGAGGCGTGCCAGAGCTCGACTAGGCGTAGGCTAGTGGCTAGGTTGATAGGCGTTGGCCTAATGATTATTCAAATTCTAGATCTTGACCTTTCTTATATTATTTTGTTTGGTTCTGAGTGCACTTTATATCGCTCTCTTTTGTGATTTTTAGCTTTTTTTTTTAACTCGAAAAGGTCACTGTTAAAATATAGGAAGTAATCTCGCCGTCTTGCAGATGATTGCATGTTAAAGAACATATAGTACACTGTAAAAGAATAGCGTATTGTCTCCTGGTGTCCAGGTATACTGCCAAATTCAATACCAGAGGCCCCCCCCCCCTTTTCCTACTTTGTACTTCTAATCCTGTCCTACCCTAGAAAACACAGCATTCCAAAACATGGCCAAAACATTACCCATAATTAAATGGCCTTTATTTATATAATAAGTATTAATTTGATTTGATTGAAGTTTGATTCTTTTTGCTATCATTTGTTTTAGATTGATTTGGATACTATCGATGTTAGCAACTTGAACAGACAGTTCCTATTCCAGAAGAAACATGTTGGCAAGTCCAAAGCTCAGGTAAGTTAAGTGTAAACTGGTATTGATTGAGACAACAAAACAGGAAGGCAGTTAAAACATACCATTCTCATCAGTGACCTGAGAGTCTTAAGTAAAAATCCTAATTAATATGGGGACATTACCAAATTTATTATTTTATTAGTTTTGGTTAGTTATCTTAGTCTCCAGAGGTAAAAAAAAATTGATATGTTTTAATCCACTAATTTTTTTAAAGACACAAAAGGGTGTATGACGAAAAACTTAAGTTAACTGATTGAGATAAAGATTTTTTAATATTTAAAAACTGAGGAAAATGTGGAAAAAATTGTGGTTAAGCCCCTTTTTCCTGCAGTTTTTAATTCCGTCTCATATTTAACAGTTCCCATGTTTTTCATCAAACAACTTTTTATGTAGAAAAATCAGTTAACATATATCGATATATGTTTTCCCTTCTGGAGCCTTGCTTTAAGGTTAAGCAGTTATCCAGTATTAGGCTTGTCAATAGATTAGAGAAGAAATATCTCAGCCTTGATTGTAGTATGTGAAGGTTATGCACAAATTAGTCTGGCTTAATTGAATTCTTTATATCTACTGGTAATTCTTCTTATTGTTCTTCCCATGGCCATTGATTTGTTAGTACTTAGCTTCCTACCCACAGAGCCTCATAAGACACAGCATTATCACATAGTTTATTTTAATCCCAGTAAAGTATGCAGTGTACTTAATACTGTTATAGTAATGGGCGTTTCAAAAATGATTGTTTCGATTCTTTAATTGTAATTTTATGCAACTGTACCTTGGGCCATAAAAAGTAAGGACTAATTTAACATAAGAAGTAAACCTGTCCAATTAGATAAATTTCTTTTCTATGTACTTTTATAATGAAGTACAATCAATGACATTGAAAATGTGTGTTCTAATACCAACAAGGCCTAGCTACACCTACTGGTATCAATTTTTTGGTCCCTTGTATAAATCCTTAGACCTACCAAACTTGGCTCAATTTTGTGTTCAGTACTGTACAGTATTCTGTACGAAAGTGCTATTTATTTTTTAGGGGGGTGTTTTTTATGTATTTTTCATTTATTCATATAATTTTAAGTTTGGATTGATTGAGATGCTTTCTGCTCATTTGCTTAGGTTGCCAAGGAGAGCGCCCTCAAGTTCAATCCGAATGTGAGAATTGATGCAAAGCATGACAGTATTATGAAGTAAGTTGTAAATTCAAATATTGTAAATGGAAGTAATATCCAAAAATTTCATTATTAAAATTAACATAGTATAGACCTTGGCATCTTCATAGACTTATTTTTAAAAAGCTTTTTTTTTTTCAAACTGTAGTATCTTATGTGCAAGGAGAATGTCGAGGATCAAGGCATATAAACCGTCAAATCTTATATCATCAGCATGTATAGAACATAATTAATTTAGTAATTGTTTATTTTTATGGTATATCAGCTAAATATTGCATTTGATTGATTTGATTTAAAATATGCTAATTATATGGGTGGCAATTTTCTTTGTCTAACACAACACATCACTAGTCAAAAACCTGACTGCAGGTCATATGGTCAGTACATCCTTTAAGTACACAAGACCACTGGCTTAATATCCAATACAAAGGATGAGATTATGTGTTTTACCCAAGAACACAAGTAATTAGTATATTATTCGAACCAGGTTACACAATACATATTGAAGTTGCAGTTGCTTATCCAGTTCATTAATGCATTTGTTTAAAAGTAACAAGCGTCAACCTAAAGTCCGATAAAATTATGAAGTTTTTTTCCACACCCTTTTACCCTTTCAAATGTATTACTGTCTAAGATATTTGACAAGTATAATTTCCTAAGCCATTAGGCGTTGAATATTTCATTTTGTAATTTTACCTAATTAATACATCTTATTTATCTTTCAGTCCAGACTTCTCTGCTGCGTTTTTCAAGCAGTTTACACTTGTAATGAATGCTCTTGACAATAGAGGTAAGACTGTAAACTTGATATGTTTTACGTCTCACATTTGTACCACCAACGCTTTTGGATTGTTCCATTTTGTTTCACCGAGGTGTCCCATTTGAAATACTCATTCATTAATGGCAAATTTATTTGATATGCCCAAATATGGACATGATGATGTCATTCCACCAATAATGTGCCGTATCGCATGTATTTTTCATGTAAAACGTGTTAGTAGTGTGGAAAGCCATTTGCATTTATTTTAATTCAGTACCATCTGTTGTGCCTTGTTTCCCAAATACTAAATTCATGTAGGGTAGACATCCCCAAACATCAGGTTTGCGTGAATTACAACAGGTTTGATACTATTTATAACGTCGTTCCTTTGATACCATGAGGCTGGGATAATAGCATTGAAAAATAAGGCAGTGAATTTTTTACGTAAAACTTTATATAGTGTTGAAAGCAGTCATATTTGAATTCAATATGTAGCGTCTGTTGTTCCTCGTTTCTTTAGTGACTATTAAATTCATGTAGAGTAGACGTCCCCAAACATGAGGTTTACGTGAATTGCAACAGGTTTGGTACTATTTATAACGTCGTTCCATTGATACCATCAGGCGGTTATATTAGCATTGGGAAATAAAGCAGCGTGTTGCCATTTAGGCATCCAAGTCTAATAAATCCGCTTGCTATAACCCTGAGAGATATGCTAGGAAGTCGCGTACTCTTAATAATAATAATTATGAGAAAGGTTTTACTGATTGGCTGTTGGAGACTGTTTCATGTGTCGGATGGTAATTGACAGTGTAGTGGCTTTCTGCTTGGCCCATTTACCTAAGGAAGCTATTAATTTAACTTAAATGCATTTCTGAATAATGCAAAAGTGTAATGCCCAGGTACTTCGTGCCATTCCTTTAACCGGAGTATATATACGGTAAGCACTAATTTTTTTGGGGGGAAAAAAGGAATAAAAGAAATAAAAGTGAATGGTTGTAATTGTAATAATATTTAAGTAACATTAATTGTGTTTACTGTGTTACACCAACTAGTGTCGGAACAGTGTCGCTTTCACATATAGATATACCCCGATACCCACTGGAAAATATAATATATAACAATAATAACTATTAATTAACCAAACTATTAATTTGAATTTAGCAATTATGGTTTATAAATATGTATTAATTATTATAATAGTATCTTTTGGATAATAATATTAATAGTGATATTAAAGAAAATATGCAACTTCATGCACAATTCATAGTAGTAATGAACACTACTGCATATTTCATATTTTCCATCCAATGCCTTTGGTGGCCCATTTTTGAAATTTATCGTTTTGTGACATTTTTCATAAATTAATTATTAATTCCATTTTCTGACTCAAACATGAGCTCCCAATCTAAGTATTGTTTCATTGCAAACATTAATTCATTTATTGCTGCGAAGCAGCCAATTCATATTCTTGACAGCAATTTGACCTCTGAAAGGTCATTGTTTGTAAATAAACAAGGGCCTAATACGACTGAAAAGCGGAGTTTCCTTCTTTCGTTCTGCTGGGTAAAATCAATTACTTTAGGCGACGTTTGTAGACTAACTTACTCATACCAACGTCCACATGTCGCGCTAGCCTTATGCTACTCTAGGCCTAGACTAGCTAGGATGGTATAGGCCTAGCCTTGAAGGGACGAAGGTCCCAATGGAAAAAAAACGGAGCTCTTTGATAGCTAACATTGTCTCATTTAACATCACAATAATTCATTATTAGACCTATAGTTGTTTTTTAAATTGTACTCCACAAATCTCAGCCGATACCTCGCACAACTTGTTACGTCTCTATCTATTGTCATGACATCATGGCTCGCTGGCTCACACTTGTGATGTCTCGCACTTGTGATCAAATAACACGCTGGCTCGCACTTTGGCAACACTC